AGGCTCCTTCTACACCCCAGCATCCTTCCTACAGAGCTCCTGGGCTGAAGTGAAGCCCTTGGCCTCCCATGGGGGCAAAGCAATGGGCCAAACTGCAGAGTCCCTGTGCACCATTAGTTTGCGCTGCCATAGATCTTGCTCCAGGAAAGCTGTTAAAAGTGGGGTAAAAGTCTGGCTCAGGTGAAGAGGAAAGGGGTTATTTTCCACCACATCCTCATGTGGGGAGGAGGTGTCACCCAGGCTTGGGTGGGTATCCCTGGAGTCTCACACTTCTCCTTTGGCATGAGTTCAGATGGGTCCTGCTGTGGTACACAGTTGCCAGCACTATGTTTCTCTTGTGGGGCCAGCTTTCCAGCCTCCTGGCAATGACTTTAGATTTCCACCAGGTCCTGTATATGCAAACGCAGTTTCACCAGCATCTCTCCCTGTCAAATCCTGCATCCGCTGAGAGGTGTCACAGGGGCCAGAGGCAGGAAGGAGGTGTGGGGTTTGGCCAGCTCACAGGGTGCAGAGGGGATGCTCCTTCATGCACCAAATCCTGAGGGCTTCTCCAGGAAGAGGTAGCCTTGGGGGGTCATTTTGTACCCCAGATCAAAGGCTGGTGAAGGCAGTTTTTGTCATTCATCCTCACCACACCTTGCAGGGAGTCATCGATGCTCCATCCAGGGCTCTTGAAGCTGCTGTGAAAGATGGGATCAGCGGCTTTGCAGCAGTGCAATCCACTTGTGTCATGGCCCCAAAACCTAGAAAGAGCAAGCAAAGATGATGGAGGCTTTGAGGTTGCTCTGAACTCTGCTGAGGGCAGGACTTAGACCTGGTGTCCCTGTCCCTTGGCATCCCCAAAACAGGACCACTTCATTCTGCTTGGGTATCCTCAGGGTGGATGTCCCAGTCCAGCTGGCCTTGCCTTGAGCAGGGTTAGGACCCTAAAGCTTAGAGTACATCCTGCTACTCATGATGCTGTCTGCAGAGAGGAAGGGATTATTCAGCAGCAGAAAAGGGCAGGAATGGGGTAAATTCATCAGGTAACTTACTTTCCATCAGCCGTTTGACCAGTGTATTAATTATGAAGTAGTCTCCCTCGTAAAGTCAGGTGGCAGTGCAAGCCTTCAGGGGCCTTTCCACTTAATTATAAATATTAATTTGTGCGTCAGCCAGCCAGCCAGCACCCTCCCTGCCCCAGATTTTGAGCTGAGATTAGTCTGTCTCAGCCGATCTCCCTGTTCCTCCACCCAGCCCACCCTGCAGCTGCCCTTTGCTGGGACAGCTTGTCTGCATGTGCCTCTGCAGCAGTCCCTGATGGAAATGGTCAAGGGATGCAATCAAGGGTTGATCTGATTATTTGGGGGTTCAGCCTTTTCTTGTGGTCCCTGGTGTGAAGTCCTTTGCAGCACACCCGGAGCTGTGTGTGTTGCCCCTAAGGGCTGAGGCTTCAGAGTTGCTGGTGCCGCTCCTTACGGGAAGATCGTGATTGGAGCAGGTGCAATGCACAGCCCCTGGCATGGCCAGCAGAGGCACAGAGGGTGCTGTAATGTGTGGTAGTGCCCAAATCTGGTGCTGGCTCTGTGCTAGTGAAAGAGCTTTGTGTAGGCAGTGTCTTTGAGCATAGCTCATGGTTTACTCTGCTAAGTCCCATAGAGCAGAGAGTAATTTTAAATGTGATTTATCCCATTTTCTTTTCCTCCCCTGGGAAGAGAAATCCATAGGTGCAGGTCTTCAGCCGGAGGCAAGGGTGTGTGCGCTGCTCAGCTGCTGCAAGCTGGAGCAGTGCCTGAGGGCTGAGCAATGCAGCCAGCCCAAAGCCTGCAGGTGCAGTTGGCCTAGTGGGAGCTCACTCCAGAACCCATAAATAAAAAAAATAGTCATCCTGGTTGCAAACACAAAGCATTGCATTGCATTCCCGCGCCCCCCCCCCGCGTGTTTTTGTCTGCCAGTGGTTGCTCACTATTCAATTATACTTTCGGGGATTTGCATATATTTCCCATCCTGCCTCCTCTCTCATTTGCATTCTTCCAATAGCTCCTCTTTTCTCCACCTGAAGTGTCTCTTCCCCCTTTCCTCTGAAGTAAAACTAACCCCTTTGCCTGGATGACCTATAAAAACGCCTTCACTTTTTTCCCTTCTTTTTTCTCTAGTACGTATGATGAAAAGCATGAGATCATTGGGATTTTTATAGCCCAATCTGGCAGCTTTTTCAAATAACTTGGATGGTGAGATGTAATTTTAGTTTGGGTCCTTGCCTAAAAATAAAGAATAATTATTAGCACATCAGACGTAGATATTGTAAATGATCGAAAAAGGTTTAAATTGTTCTACAGATACCGGAGCTTCTGCCCTGTGTCAGCACAAAGGTCTGTCCCAGCCCAAATCTCACCTCTGTGCTGTGCATCCAGAGGAGCTACAAGAAGCCTTAAGATATGTCAATAAATAAATAAGAAATGGGTTGTGCTGGGTGATATGGGTGGCACTCTGGAAAAAAACCCACCCCAAACAACAAACAATCCCCCCAAAAGCATGCATATAGGGTTAATAAGCGATTAACAGGTGAGATGCTGAAGTCCAAAGCAGGAGGGTGTGGTTTGAGCATTGTATTTATTGTTAGCTGCTCAGTCCCTGAGATGCCTTGGGGATCTGGGATGGATGGGTTTGCTGGGAGCAGCTCCAGGAATGTGCGCTCCCACTGCATCCACCTTCACCAGGAGCTGTGGTTGTGCTTGCAAAAGGATGCGCACGCACCTGTTTCATAGTGGTAGGTCATTGGTCAGGAGACACATCTGGAGTGCAACCACCTCACTCTGGTGATCTGTCCAAACCTGCTTCTGAAAGAGCTCATGATGTCCCTTGTCCGCCAGCAAGGACAAGGAGCATGTCACCTTGTTACAGAGGAGTCCCATTCTTAGCAGCTAATTTAGAGCGCTGGGAAGTAGTGCCCTGAACCTTGCCTGGAGGCTCAGTGCGACAGATCCCAAGCCCTTCAAACAAATCTGGGTTAGTGAAGGACTTTGCCGCCAGGGCACTCTTCTCCCCTCTGCAGTGCTGGACCAGTAGTGCCCCAGGTGATGGGCCTGCCCTGGGGAGAAGAGATGTCATAGGGCTGGGAGCTGTGAGGGCTCCACCTCTATCACTCTGCCTGGCTGTGTAGGACTATGGCTCATGTTGCTCTGTGGTGGTAGGAGAGAGCTGTCAATCCTGCTCTGCTGCCACGAGCCTTCTAGCTGGGCTTGTATTCGTGAGCCCTTGGAAGAAGGGTTGGAGCCTGTGTCCAGCCCAGGAGTATCCCTGGCCTGGAGATGCTCAGTCCTGGCTGGAGTTAGTGCATGGGCTGCAGGTGCCTTTTTCCCACCCCTTTGGGAGGCTGGTTGGAGCCCAGGTGTTGGAACATGCAGAGCAAAAGCTGAAGGAGGGTCTCGGGGTCTCCTGCACGGTGTTGGGTGCTGCGTGTCCTTTATGCTGGCATTTTGGGGAGTGCTGGGTTACCCTGCTCTCACTGGCAGGTTGTGTGAAAAAGATGAAAGCACTTGTGCTCTCTACCACATGCTGTGGAGTGGCCGTGCTTTATCATACTTACTGATATTGATCTTACAACCAATTTAACAATGCAGCTCTCCCAAGTCTTTGGGAGCTCCTGACTTAATTAAGTCCCTTTTCTGCTCTCCCATTAACCCTGTGGGTAGTGGGGGCTGGTCACAGGCTGGGACATGGGGGAAAGGGAAAGTGCTATCAAGGGTAAAAGATCCTGTATATATCAGGATAAGCAGCCTGATACATGGGGCCTTGTGGGCAATGCTGGAGTAATGCATCCCAGCTGCTGCTGGGGCCAGGCTTTCCAGCTGACCCTTTGTGCTGAGGCAGGAAGGAACAGGAGGCTAGGAAAAGGAGTTGAAACAACCCGGTTTGCTGATGTGAGAGCATTTCTGCTGTCAGGGTATCCTAGGAAACCCAGCCATCTTTCTGGAGGGCTAGGTTAGTACCTGCTGTACCTCAGGGAGAGAGGGAGAGAACGTGCTAATTGCTCAGCGCACCAGAGAGCTGCTCTGGCCTGTAATTAGATGAATTAGTGGAACAATGACCCAATTTCCCTCAGTTTTTAGATTACTGCAAACAACTCTGAGGTTGCTGCCTCCTTCTGTCCTGCTCTCCTCCCCATCCCCTCCTCTCCCATCCCCTACTCTCCCATTCCCTACTCCTCTACTGCAGCCCTCCCTGATCCTCCTTGGCCAGCACCTGGGGACTGAGCCCAGATGGGAGAGGAGGCCACGAGCTCTGGCACTGCTGACTGTGTTCCTGTAGCTCTGCCCAAGCTGCAGTGTCTCCATCCTTCCAGCAGGTTCAGGGGCTCTGAGTATTTCCACTGCTGGACTTGGTGTGCACCAGCTTGCTTCTGCCCCAGTTTGTTTTCCAGAGATGGTCTTGAAAAAACTCTCGTATGTTAAAAGAAAACCTCTGGAGTTCTTCCTGTGCCTGCCGATTGCCTTCCAAGGTCATCAAACTTTCATTACTATAGATTTTTGAATGCGTGTGAGGTTTTCATCTTCTCAGCAATCCCAGAGGTGGAACATTGAGTTAAGGAAGCTCCATGTGTGGAAAATGCCAGAGCAGCTGACAGATGAGGGTGCTGTCAGGGGAGCATGGGCGACCATCAGGGGAGCAACACCCATCTCTGGTGTACTGCCTACCCTGGGATGGAGTTTAAAGCCATGCTGCTGTGATGAGCTCGCCACTGGCAGTGTTGAAACCCCAGAGTGTGATTTCATGGCATGGGTGATGGCCAGCACTGTGGTTTAGAGCTGTCCCCAGCCATCCTGGTATGTGGGGGGTATTGAAAAGGAGCTGCCAGGGCTAGGTGGCCCCTGAGTGGCTTTGGCTGGCCATAGTGTCCCATGAGCTTTGGTGCCAGCATCAAACAGGGCTCACTGTGTGAGAACATGGCTCTTGGCACCACCAGGGTGGCCAAGTTCTTTGCTCGTGCTAACTCCTTCTCTCTCCCTGTCTGCCTGCAGCATCCTCGCCACCGCTGGGACACACTTCAACACCCATGTGGACCTGCGGACGCTGCGGGCCGTGCGTGTGCTCAGACCTCTGAAGCTTGTCTCAGGCATTCCCAGTAAGTTGGATGCTCCTGGTCCTTCTGTGGTGTCCGCATCCATTCCTGATGTCCTTCAGCACGAGAAGGGTCCTCGTGTCACCTCAAGAGATGTAGGGTGAAATCAGGGAACAGCAGAAGAAACCTCCCTAGGTAGTGGGAACTCTAGGATGGCAGCATTTGGTGTCCCCGGGTGGCATTTTCCCCTGCCCAGCCTACTCCGTGCTGGCACAAGGCTGAGCTCAGCAGCTCGCCGGGGCCTTCCAGCAGCTCCGCTTCCCTGGCCAGAAGGCGGTGGGTGGATCCTTTCAGGACTGAGGTTTATTCAGGGGACATTTCGAATTTTTTGCAAGATTTCATCTGCTGGCACGGGGATAAATAAAGAAACTAGGCTGCTGCCAGCACCGGTCCTCCCATCCCTCCTGCCTTGGACACTGTTGAGGCAGTGTGCTGGACCCATGCTATGGGACAATAAGGGAGGCAGAGCTGCAACGGCCAGGTCCCACCAAGTCCAGAGCGGGGACCAGATCCAGAAACCAGCCACCATGGAGCCTTGTTCTGCAGCCCGTCCCTCCCCACTCCCGTGGCACTGTGCTTTCGTCTGTGGTCCTCAGTCCTCCATGCTATGCTGGCTTCTTTGCATCTGCTTGCTGTTCGTCTCTTGCCAGAGGTGGTATGAATGTGTCTCAGGCGGGGGGTTTGCATGACCATGCTGAGCTGTTCCCTTTCTTTCTCCTTCTAGGCTTGCAGATTGTGCTGAAATCCATCATGAAGGCCATGGTGCCTCTCCTCCAGATTGGCTTGCTGCTCTTTTTTGCTATCCTCATGTTTGCCATCATTGGCCTGGAGTTCTACAGTGGGAAGCTGCACCGAGCCTGCTACACAAACAATTCAGGTGGGGAGAAGGGCTCTGCACTCGCTTTACATCCCATGGGTGGAAAACAGCTGGGATGAATGCATGTTGCTATCATGGAAAGCCTAGGGCTGAGAAGATCCTTTGTTTCATGCACACAGGGCATCACCCAGTTGTGTTCAGGTTGCCCCAGTTTCTTATGGGAGCAGTTTGTGTGCAGCCAGGGCTAGTCTCAGCAGGGTTCCCTGCTCTGCCCCAAACCCATCTGTGTTCAGGCTCTTCTCCTTGCCTGTCCCCTGCTTCTCTCTTACTTCTGCCTCCTTTGGCTCTCTAACGTGTGCTTTCAGGTGAACTAGAGGAGCTGGACCCCCCCCATCCATGCGGGGTGCAGGGTTGCCCTCCAGGCTATGAATGCCGGGAGTGGATTGGTCCCAATGACGGGATCACGCAGTTCGACAACATCCTCTTTGCTGTGTTGACCGTCTTCCAGTGCATCACCATGGAAGGGTGGACCACAGTCCTGTACAATGTGAGTAGTGCTGCTTGTGTTTCTCTGGGCAGTCGGTTATAGGGATGGGGAGCTGGAGATGGCATTTCTATGTGCTGGAAACCTGTAAGATCCTGAGTTCCCTTTGTGATGGGGATGGGGTTGGTCCTTCCCATTTGGAAAGGAGATGGGGGATAGAGAGGTGTGTGTTACATGTCTCTGGGTAGAGGGAGTAATAAGGGTTTGGTCCCCATCTCTGGACTGGTTGTACAACCCACTGCAAGAGTGAAACCTTGTGGACATGGGCTGCAGCAAGCCTCCTGTTTGAGGACTGTCCCTGGGAAGGTATCTTTCCTTCCCTCCTCCTCCTCCTCCTGTGCTCCCCAGGGCAGCTCCTGGGGATGTGATTTCTGGGCACTGCACATCTGCTCTCGCTGTAGACCAGGTGGTAGACGTGCCTGCATTCCCGGTTGCCTTGGAAAGCACTGGAACTGGGCTTGGGCACCCTCCCTGGGGCAGAGGCAGTGTTTTGGTGTCTGGCAGTGAGCTGAGGTCTTTGGTATTCATGCTGCAAATATTTGTCGGTGCTGAAGGGGATGACTGGGATAGGTTCCTGTGGTTTGCAGCTGCTTGAAGTTGCCAATGCCCAATCCATTAGGGTGTCCAGGGAGCAACTTCGGGGCAAAGCTGGAAGCAGGAAAAAAGCTACAGGCGATTACAAAGTGCAGTATCATTGTGGGTGACTGGCCATATACAAATGCCGTAGTTTGTGGGCTAGAAGCAACCATGCCAGTTGTGTTCCCAGCCTAATTTCAGCATCAATTTTGGCATCATTGCACTGGGCATGTCTTGTGGTGGGGAAACATGGTTTGATAGTTACTTTATCATCAGCAGAAAGGCTGGCTTTTCACCCTAGGCAACTGCACTGCCAATGTTGGGGTCCCCCTCCTGCTCAATCTATCGTGGCATCCTTTGGGGGGTACAGGATGGTGTGTGCAGGCAGATAGATTGCAAAACCTAGACTGGGATAGAAAGGGAAGAGTTCATGGCAAGGGTTTGACCTTACCGTGAGAATTTGGTTTTTCTCTTCCTAAAGGAGATGATGGTGTCAGGATCTTGCTGCTTCTGGAGTGGAATTAGGCAGGATTGAACCACATGGGTGTTCAGGATGATAAAAGACCACTTTTTGGCTGCTTTTGGTGTATCAATGGGATTAGAGACTTAGCTACAGTACCTATTGCCCAGGCATAACTGATTATAGCATGAAAGGGGATTTCTACTCCCTGGTGTTTGGTTCCCCTGCTTTTAACATGCTAGGCAGCTGCTGCCCACTCACACTGCCCTATGACAACCTGTGCATGCCCAGCACTGCCTGCGGCTGGTGCCACCAACCTGCCCTGCACCTTGTTTCATGTGTTAATGACTGTCTGCAAAGGCCGGGGGCTGCTTTCATCAGTGCTCTCCATGTCACCTCCTCCTCATCCTTTGGCACCTGAAGCAATTAGCAGCAGCACTCCCTGTGCTAGAGCCCCAGCTGTCGCGTGCGAGGAGCCTGTGAGCTACATGGACAGGCAATTTGTGGTGCGATTGACCTTGGGGGTTTTTACTGGCAGTTGCTGAGGAAGTCTGGTGACCTTCCGTTTGGGATGTCCTTACTGGGAAAGCTGAAGCCACTCCATTCGGTGTCTGGGATTTGCTGATCCACCATCTGGATCTTATTGGAAGGCAGGGATGGAAGATGTTGCTGACAGCACTGAAAACCATGCTCTGCAGGACATACCCTACAGGATCCCGTTTACCACCACAACTGCTAAATAAGGGGCTCCCTAGGACATTTGGGGGGGCCCACAGCCCTGGGATCCAAATAACATTCCCAGTACCAACTGCACTTCCAGGCAAACATGCTCCGTCATGGCCAGGACTATAAAGTGCCTCCTTTTCCCACTCCTCTGCAAAGAAGCAGCTATTACTTACGTGTAATGGAAAGGATAAGGGACCTTCCTGGGCTTTTAATTGCATAAGGATTGTGTCCTTGGTATAATAAAATGCTGCTGATTCACTTTGGGAGGTGGTGAGGGACAGACACTGTTCCCAGCACTGTTGGGTTGTGCCTCCTGCCCTCCATGGGGACACAAGCTCTCTTGCCTCTGGGTTGCAAAGGCTACGGATGGTCAGTCCTTTTGCTGCTTGGAGGCAGCAAAATGGGCCTTTGCTTTTTTTTTTTTAAATAGAGCAATGGGGGATGCACAAGGGGGATGTGGTGCCTGGGGGATGCAGGGATGGAAAGCCACCGGGAGGCTCTGCTGTCACCTTCATTGCTCGGAGCAGCAAACCAGAGCAGGCTCCCACTGCTAGCCAGCATGGACCTTGCCCAGCACATGCACCAGGTTTGGGGGGATCAGTGCGGGACTCTGTTTTCCCACTGGATTAAAGTGATGGGAGGCAGCATCCTTGCAGGTTAACACCACACAGGAGAGTAAGATAGCAGGAAAACCACTTTAGCAGGCTCTCAAAGAAATTGCTTACTATAGTATTCCCCTGTGTTGCTATATCGTGATTTTAAGATCCGTTTTTCCACAGTTTTACCAAGTCTAGAAGCATGGCTCCTGGAATTTGTAGATAGCATCATGAAAAGCTAATTGGCCCCATGTTCCTTTCCACGTGTGTTATTTCATGGATATGCTTGCCTTCAGCCTTGTTTTCATCAGCCTTGCCTGCTGTATTGCTAGGTAGAAATCACACTATGGGTAAAAAAAAGAGAAAAAGCCTCAAATTGTGGGGTTTTATGGCTTTTCCAACTCCCATCCCTGGGAGCCTGAAGGACTAATTTCTTTTGGAGGGAGGTTTCAGCTTTTAGGTTCCTCTCTCTGTCTTTGTGGTCCAAAACAGAGTCTTAAGGAGTATTTTGCTCTTCTTATACTGGAGCAGATGCTCCTTCCCTGGGCTGGCTTGAGACCGAACCTGATTTCTATAGGGACCAGAGGGAAATACAATGCTGGTACAGAGGCTCATTGTCCTACTTCTTTGCCTATGTAGGCATGCCAGTACGGTGCAGGGTTTGGGTGGCAGTTTTGTCCTTATGCAGTGATGCGGG